AGTATTTTTAAAAAATCCACGTTTATTGATGGCCTTGCAAAAATATTTTTAAAAAATCCACGTTTATTGATGGCCCTTGAAAAAATACTTTTAAAAAATCCACGTTTATTGATGGCCCTTGAAAAAATATTTTTAAAAAATCCAGTTCTGTTGTTGCTCCTTAAAAAAATATTTTGAAAAAATCCTGGTCTGTTGTTGCTCCCTAGAAAATATTTTTTAAAAAATCCACGTTAATTATAGACCTTCAAAAATATTTTTTGTAAAATCCCTAATTACTTTTGTAATTTTTCTCCACAAAAACCGAAAATAATTATTTTAAAATAATTACAAATAATTTATTTGCCCTTTTGAACTTTGAAACGAAAATAGCTCATTTTTATGTGTAATTAAAAATATTTGACCGTTTGTGAAAACATTACACGCAGAGTGTTGCTGCGTCGACGTCAGCAGAACCCTCAAACAATTCCAAAATAATTGTTTCAATTGGATTCAATTCCGTTACACAAAATACCAAAACAAAACACAAAAATCCAATAGATTTTGGAACAATGGAATGAAACACTGCTGGAGAGATCACTGTCTCACAAAAAAAAACGGAAGAGAGAGAGCAAAAGAGAACGGAAAAGGAAATTATTTTCAAATTGTCATAATAACTGAATTGAAACGAATGGGATTAGAAATGTCTGGGAATGAAGTGCAATGGAACAAAACTCTCTTAGGGTAACAGTCTGAGTACACATTTCTAAATGGAATCAGGGATGGATATTTTGCAAAGCCAATAAGAAATGTGAGATTTTTAAATATTTTTTAGAGCCAACAAGGAACGTGGATTTTTAAAAAAAATATTTTTCAGAGCCAACAAGGAACGTGGATTTTTAAAAAAATATTTTTTAGAGCCAACAAGGAACGTGGATTTTTAAAAAAATATTTTTTAGAGCCAACAAGGAACGTGGATTTTTAAAAAAATATTTTTTAGAGCCAACAAGGAACGTGGATTTTTAAAAAAATATTTTTTAGAGCCAACAAGGAACGTGGATTTTTAAAAAAATATTTTTTAGAGCCAACAAGGAACGTGGATTTTTAAAAAAATATATTTTTTGAGCCAACAAGGAACGTGGATTTTTAAAAAAATATTTTTTAGAGCCAACAAGGAACGTGGATTTAAAAAAAAAAAAATTTTTAGAGCCAACAAGGAACGTGGATTTTTTAAAAAAAATTTAGAGACAACAAGGTACGTGGATTTAAAAATAAAATATTTTTTAGAGCCAACAAGGAACGTGGATTTTTAAAAAAATATTTTTTAGAGCCAACACGGAACGTGGATTTTTAAAAAAATATTTTTTAGAGCCAACAAGGAACGTGGATTTTAAATTAAAATATTTTTTAGAGCTAACAAGGAACGTGGATTTTTAAAAAAATATTTTTTAGAGCCAACAAGGAACGTGGATTTAAAAAAAAAATTTTAGAGCCAACAAGGAACCTGGATTTTTAAAAAAATATTTTTTAGAGCCTTCAAAGAACGTGGATTTTTAAAAAAAAATTTAGAGACAACAAGGTACGTGGATTTAAAAATAAAATATTTTTTAGAGCCAACAAGGAACGTGGATTTAAAAAAAAAAAAATTTTAGAGCCAACAAGGAACCTGGATTTTTAAAAAAATATTTTTAGAGCCTTCAAAGAACGTGGATTTTTTAAAAAAAAATTTAGAGACAACAAGGTACGTGGATTTAAAAATAAAATATTTTTTAGAGCCAACAAGGAACTTTATTAGGTCTCGAAAAAATATTTTTTTAAAAAACCACGTTTATATTAGGTCTTGAAAAAAATATTTTTAAAAAATCCACGTTTATATTAGGTCTTGAAAAAAATATTTTTAAAAAATTCACGTTTATATTAGGTCTTGAAAAAAATATTTTTAAAAAATCCACGTTTATATTAGGTCTTGAAAAAATATTTTTGAAAAATCCACGTTTGTATTAGGTCTTGAAAAAAATATTTTTCAAAAATCCGCGTTTATATTGGGTCTTGAATAAAATATTTTTAAAAAATCCTCGTTTATATTAGGTCCTAAAAAATATTTTTTAAAAAATTGACGTTTATATTAGGTCTTGAAAAAAATATTTTTAAAAAATGCACGTTTGTATTAGGTCTTGAAAAAACTATTTTTAAAAAATCCACGTTTATATTAGGTCTAAAAAAAACATATTTTTAAGAAATCCACGTTTATATTAGGTCTTGAAAAAAAATATTTTTAAAAAATCCACGTTTATATTAGGTCTAGAAAAACATATTTTTAAAAAATCCACGTTTATATTAGGTCTTGAAAAAAATATATTTAAAAAATCCTAGTTTATTTTAGGTCTCGAAAAAAATATTTTTAAAAAATTCACGTTTATATTAGGTCTTGAAAAAATATTTTTAAAAAATCCACGTTTATATTAGGTCTTGAAAAAAATATTTTTAAAAAAATCCACGTTTATATTAGGTCATAAAAAAAATATTTTTTCGAAAAAACCACGTTTATATTAGGTCTTGAAAAAAATATTTTTAGAGCCAACAAGGAACGTTATTAGGTATTTTAAAAAAATATTTTTTCAAAAATTCACGTTTATTTTAGCTCTTGAAAAAAATATTTTTAAAAAATCCACGTTTATATTAGCTCTTGAAAAAAAATATTTTTAAAAAATCCACGTTTATATTAGCTCTTGAAAAAAAATATTTTTAAAAAATCCACGTTTATATTAGGTCTTGGAAAAAATATTTTTAAAAAATCCACTTTTATATTAGGTCTTGAAAAAAATATTTTTAAAAAATCTAAGTTTATTTTGGGCATTGAAAAAATATTTTTAAAAAATCCACGTTTATTTTAGGCTTCTTATTTATATTTTTATTTACATTTTTAAGGATATTTTCTCAAATGTAATATTTAGGTTAATAATGTTTCAATCACATTTTTGTCAAATTATTTTTCAGTGGATTTCACTTTTCCATCTCTGGTCTCCATAACAAGAATCAGTTGCTCGATTCCCATTAATTTCTAATCATTTGGCATTTTAATTGGGATTCACCGTTGGTTTTCTCTCTCTCTCTATCGCTCTTCTCTTCACAACAAAAAAAATTAACAAGGTTCTCTTATTTACTCCCCTCTTTCTCTCTCAATAATAGAACGTTATTGTGGAAATCATAATCTCTCTCTAAAAAAAAAATTACCAGCCAACCCGTTAGAATTTTGATGAGCGTAGATAACTAGGAGGGGAAGAGAACACAACACCAAAACAAATAGCCCCAAATTAGTATTTCTCCTTGTTGTTGCTATTTTTAGTTTAATACAAAAACAAAAGAAATCAACAAATTTAATTAATACCCATTTTTATGGTAATAGTTCGTGAGGTTGTTGTTGTTATCCGTTGTCTGATATTCTCACCAATGGCATAAACTATTATCTCTTCTGAGAACTAAATATTTTCTGCCATAAAAAATTTTATTTCATTTTTCTAATTCATTTGCGTTTATTGTGTGGATCCAAACCTAGCCCCAGGGTGGGATAGGAGAGAAGGTGTAAAAAACAACAACAGCAATAATAACACAAAAACAAGTACCGATTTGGAAAGGTAATTCCCAATTCCAGGCAGCGACTATGCCAGTGTGCCAAAGTCGGGTGTATTGATGTGTGGGTATGTGTGTGTGTGCCTTTGCAATTTAATTGCTTATCATGAAAACGGCAAACAAGATTTGACACTCACAAAAAGCAATCAAGCAACGACAAGAGCAACAACAACAACCATTATTTTTGTTTTGATGGAATCCGAAATAATGCAAAAACAACAACAGCAACGAAAACCATTCACTATTTACTCATTCATTTACTCAATTCATTGTTTACCACCCAACGGGAGTCGTAGATGCGAGTTGTTGTTATTTTGCCATACTTTGTGGGGGGAGTGCTGTTGTTACTTCGTTTTACTCTCTCCAGACTTCGTCTTGTATTTATTTGGCAAACAATCGCAATTTATTGACAGTATTGTCTTGGCTTTGACTTGAGGAGGATGGTGCGTGGATCTTGGTTTGATAATTTGCTGATTTTTTGAAGGGCAAAATAGAAGCGATGAACAGTGGATCAAAAGCAAATATTAATTGGGAGAAAAGGCCGCGTGCACGAAACAGATTTGCAAAAATTAAATTGACGCAATTTCTTTGCAGAGGTGACTAAATTCTCTTTTATCATCGAATTTTTGGAAATCTAAAATAAGATAACCCCGTCTATTTGAGGATTTAATAAAAAATATTCTTCATCATTTCAAAGCAGATACTGAAGCTACTATTTCATAAGTATTCGAGACCAACTCAACACAATTTTATGTCACAGAATAGTTTACTAACGAACGAATAAAAAATGGCCTTCATCAATCCGAAGGAGACATTGAAGCGTCCACCTCATAAGTCTTCCAGTGATCGTCAGAGAAAACCTCGAGCACGAAGCTGATTTATTAACTAAGGCCAATTTTAGGCCACCGAGTAGTTTACTAACAATGAATGAAATTGGGTGTCCTTACGTAAAGAATCAACTTCTCTTCTATCATCGAATTTTTGGAACTCTATAAATAGATAACCCCCGTCTATTGCGGATTTAATAAAGAAATGCTCTTCTTCAAGTCGAAGGAGACCTTGAAGTTTTATTTTATTAGTCTTCAGTGATGGTTAGAGAAAACCTTGTGCACGAAGCAGATTTACTAACTATGGCCACCGAGTAGTTTACTAACGATGAATGAAAATGGATAGCCCTCTAGAAATTACCAACTTCTCTTCTAGCATCAAATGTTTGGGACGCTAGAGTTAGATAACCTGATAAAAAAAATAGTCCTTATCAATGGTGTCTTCTATGAAGCTACTATTCAATAAGGCTTTAACTGATGCCAAGAGAAAACCTTGAAAACAAAACAGATTTGCAAAAATTATAAGTGTGAGTTTTTTCGACCTATTTTCCAATATATTTAATAATATGAGTTTTTTTGAGCTTTAGGCCAGTTTTTTATTTTATTTCATTTTTGATCTCCGATATTTCGCAATTGTATAAATTGCATCTTCAGGGGATCTACAAGATAATATAATATTCTTAATATTACTATCACAGCATTGATTAAAAATAGAAACGAACACAATGTTATTACACAAAAATCGCTTACTTGTAAACAATAATCGTCAAGTTAACTTAATAACTACGATAGAATGCACTATCATCGTCGGCTGTTAATATTGCACTGATTTTGTTTACATATTGCACGATCTCTTCTTTTGTGTCAAATGCCTATAGCAATAAGCTGCGTTATCTGTGTCGCTCTTAAAATTTATTCTCTCTGTTGTGTGTAGATTGTTGATGTGTAACATTTCTAATGTGAGTCTTCTGTGGTAATGGTTTTCCGTTTGCAGTATTTTTACTTGTTCAAGGTTTGTATATCAAGCAACCATCAGCCAAACCTTGAACAAGTAAAAATACTGCAAACGGAAAACCATTACCACAGAAGACTCACATTAGAAATGTTACACATCAACAATCTACACACAACAGAGAGAATAAATTTTAAGAGCGACACAGATAACGCAGCTTATTGCTATAGGCATTTGACACAAAAGAAGAGATCGTGCAATATGTAAACAAAATCAGTGCAATATTAACAGCCGACGATGATAGTGCATTCTATCGTAGTTATTAAGTTAACTTGACGATTATTGTTTACAAGTAAGCGATTTTTGTGTAATAACATTGTGTTTGTTTCTATTTTTAATCAATGCTGTGATAGTAATATTAAGAATATTATATTATCTTGTAGATCCCCTGAAGATGCAATTTATACAATTGCGAAATATCGGAGATCAAAAATGAAATAAAATAAAAAACTGGCCTAAAGCTCAAAAAAACTCATATTATTAAATATATTTGCAAAAATTTAAACTGGCGCAATTTCTCTACAGAGGTGACCAACTTATATTCTCTCATCGAATTTTTGGAACTCTAAAATTAGATTACCCCCGTCTATATTGGGATTTAATAAAACATACTCTTCATCAATTCGAAGAAAACCTTGAAGCTTCTATTTCATAAGTCTTGAAGTAATAACGAGAGAAAACCTAGTACACGAAACAGATTTGCAATTATAGGCCACCGAGTAGTTTACTAACGATGAATAAAAATGGATAGCCTTACCAACTTGTCTTCTAGCATCAAATGTTTGGGACGCTAGAGTTAGATAACCTGTCGTAGTCCTTATCAATGGTATCTTCTATGAAGCTACTATTCAATCAGGCTTTAACTGATGGCGAGAGAAAACTTTGAGCACGAAACAGATTTGTAAAAGATAATTTGGCGCAATTTCTCTACAGAGGGGACCAGCATATATTCTCTCATCGAATTTTTGGAACTCTAAAATTAGATATCCCCATCTATAGGAGATTTAATAAAAAACATTCTTCATCAGTTCGAAGACATTGAAGCTTATATTCTTTAAATGACCCGACTATAGGGAATTTAAAAAAAATCATCAATTCGAAGGAGACATTGAAGATACTATTTCATAAGTCTTCAAGTAATAGTGAGATAAAACCTCATGATCAAATCCGGTTGACTAACTAAGGCCAATTTTAGGCCACTGAGTAGTTTTCTAACGATGAATTAAAAAAAAGGTTCCTACAGAGATAACCAACTTCTCTTCTATCATCGAAGGTTAAATACTAAGACAGCTCTGTCTTTATGGAGATTTAATAAAAAAGTTCATCAATTCAAAGGAGACCAACTTATATTCTATCATTTAAGCTTCCCGTCTATAAGGTATCGCAATAGCCGATTTAGCATGAAGGAAAATTTCGTCGAATAAACAGATTAATAAATGGCTAGCTCAGCCCAATTTTGGGCCACCAAGTAATTTACTAACGATGATTGAAAACGGATGTCCCTACAGAAATGACCAACTTCTCTTCTATCACCGAATTTTGGGATAAACCCGTCAAAAAAGTATCGCAATAACTGGTGTAGCATCTGACTGATGAAAGAAAACTTCGTGCACGAATCAGATTTCCAAGCGCTTATTCCGCCAAATTATAGGCCACCGAGTAGTTTACTAACGATGAATTAAAATAAAGGTTCCTACAGAGATAACCAACTTCTCTTCTCTCATCGAAGGTTTGAGACGCTAGAGTAAAATAAACCCGCCAGTAAGTTATCACAAGGCCAGTGTAGTATCCGGCTGGTGAGAGAAAACTTCTTTGACAATACAGATTAATTAAGGGCTATCTCAGTACAATTTTAGGCCACCAAATAGTTTACTAACGATGAATGAATACTGATGTCCTTATGGAGATGAAAAACGTATCTTCTATTATTGTAGCTTCGAGAATGTTGACTTAAGACAACCCCGTCTATAAGGTATTGTAATAGAAGATATAAAATACAGCTGGCGAGAAAAAAACTTAACTAGCTCATTCCAATTTAAGGTCACCGAATAGTTTACTAACGATGAATAAAAATAAGTAACTTCTCTTCTATCATTGAAGCTTCGGGAATCTAGAGTTATATAACTTCGTCAATAAGGCATTGCAATAGCCGGTGTAGCATCCGTCCTGTAAATCCAACTGTGAATAATACAAAAGTCTCTAGCAGGTCTGCGAAGTAGAGCTTTTTTTTACCAGTACCCCACTCCTGAATGGGCTTCGAAAAGAAAATTATGTTTATTCTCTGAAAAACTGTTACTATTATATTTTTTTGAGTGCGTAGATATTAAAGTGCCTTCCATTGACGTAAGCGTCGACTCTCGCATCCAATTCTCAGATACGTTCAAGGAAGACCGATGCTTTCGAAACTGGATAAGCCACATGCCTAGGAATAGATTGAAAGCTGCAGCCTACACTACGTAAAAATTAGGGAATCGTTTTCCAGGGAACGCGACAATAAGGAATTTTTTCACCAGTCAATGGGTAACTACCACAAAAAGTCTTCCAGGGAACCTAACCTTTTTGGCTAGGATTTGAATCGATAAGCTTAGCTGACAACGGATAAGCCGCATGCGAAGAAATAGATGAATAAACGGCCTATACAACTAAAAAGTACCGGAAACGTTTTCCAGGGAACGACCCTAGGGTTGAAATTTGTAATCACTTTTTTGGATAACTGCCATATAACATGGGGAACCTAGCCATCAGTTAGCAGACGACTTTATAATACTTCTGAAAGCAAAGATATCCAAATATAATGTGTAGAAGAGCCACAGCGGTTCTGAAGGTAGGCTTATAGTAAGGCCAGAAAAGAGAACGGAACGTAACTTGAGTTTTGACATTTTGATGAACCTAAACCCTAAACCCTAAAAAATAAAACTGTGTTATTTCACCAGGAAAGTTGAGCTTGGACACTTAAATGAGCCAGTTTTCCAATATAAGACAATAAATATCTCCAGCAAAAGTCAAATATCTAGTTGTGGTTCCGGACTTAACAAATAAAGAGCAAATGAAGATGCTGAACAGATGCTGGTCAATGTGTAGAAAGACAATAGGTATAATATGGGTACCAAAGTTATTCGTTATCATGAATCGACTTCATCGGCCATTTTATCCAGAAAATGCTAGATTGTTTTTAGGTATTTTTTTAGAAATAACATCGCCGTATCTTCCTCCTCTCAAACCACTGTCTCAAAACAGAAAAGGAAAGATTTTTATTTACATGTTTACAATTCTTTTTTTGCAACGTTTTAAAAGTCTTCCTAAGTGCTTGACATTTTTAGCAAAGCTTGTGTCAATGTTTAGCTAGCTTCAATCAGGTGGTCAAATATTTTTTTCTATTTGCAAAAGCTTATTTTCAAATAAAAAAATAATATTTTGCTATTTAAATTAAAAATACTTGTTCCCATGATGACATAGCCGGGGTATTTATTTGTTTATTTATTTTTTTTTTTTTGTGAAATAAAAATAATTGCAGTAATTAACTGCGTGGAATTGGGGTCTATAATTAATGGGAATTTTTGAAAATATTTTTATTGCAAAGTCAATGAAAGCAAACAAATGAAGAGAGTGCGCTACGAGAGTTTTCAAAAGAAGAAGAACATACAATCTAACATATTTGCATTTAAAGTTATTCTATGGAGGGTATTTAATTAAAAAAGACTAAAATTTATTTTTAATCTACAATTTCGGGCCATAATCTGGACTGAAAAATATTTGGAAATCCACAATATTCAAGCAGAGCACAAGCTAGAAATTTATATCTAAAGTCAAAGATATGGACCACAATTTTTTCCAAGGTATTATTTTTATTTGCAGAAATTAAACGACTCTGAAAAATTTAATTTTGTGAATTGGGGTCTATAAATAATGGAGCATTTTTAATTATTTCATGTTTGATGACAGTAAAAACAAATAAATTTAGAGAAATTTATTTATTTTCCACTGCCATTAAAAATGAAACAATTAAAGCTCCATTATTTATATTCCATTCCATAGACATATGTCATTTGACGAACTTACACTTAACCCTGAAAATATGACGAATAGATACAGTCGATGTATAGAAGTTGAATCAAATAGACGTACAAGTTTAGAAGTGAAAATAGAAGTCTAATAAACTAAATGTAGAAGTTACGATGTGAAAATAAAAGTCAGACTAAAACATTATTTTAAAAATCGAAGTTATTGGGCAGATTATTAGGCCAAAAAAATTATTTTGAAATCTACTTTTTTTGGACAGACATTAGGTGAAATAATTATTTGAAAATCCTTTTTTTGAGCAGATATTAGGCCAAAAAAATATTTGAAAATTCATGTTTATGAGGCCAACAAATAATTTTAAAATCCACATTTTTGAGGCAGATATTAGGTCAAACAATTATTTTTAGAATCCAAGATTATGGGCAGATATTAGACCAAAAACTTATTTTAAGAATCGAAGTTACCAGTGCAGATTATTAGACAAAACAATTTCTTTAAAAATCAACGTTTTTGGGGCAGACATTAGGCCAAACAATTATTTTGAAATCCACGTTTATATGGAAGAAGTCAGGCTAAACATTATTTTAAAAATCTCCAAGTTTATTGGGCAAAAATTGGATAAAAAAAGTATTTTAAGTCCGCCTTTATTGAACAAAAACAGGTTTAAAAATCCATTATTGGTAATTCGACAAAAAAAAAATATTTTAGAAATCCATATTTACGGACAGATATCAGACCAGATTAGATTTAACATATTTGCATTTAAAGTTATTAAAAAAATAATTAATTAAAAGAAGTCCACGTTTTTTTTTTTACAAAAATCTACGTTGCTTGGAACTTGGAAAATTATTTTTTTTTTTTTTTGAAAAATCTTCGTAAAAAAAACTACGTTTCTTGGAACTTTTCAAAATATTTTTGAAAAAATACCCTCTTATAACAGCTTGAAAAAAATATTTTTTAAAAATCTAGGTTTCCTAAA